TGCTGCACAAGGCCTATCTTACCCCAATTCAATTGTATAGATTTGGTGGATGTAATTCCCCTTTGTGCCCAAAATGCTGTAGGGATGTGGAAGACCTTTTGCACCTATTGTGGAGGTGTCCGAAATTGTTTTAGTACTGGAATGAAGTTACCAATACTATCTCTGCAGTGTTTCAATCTAAAGTTCCAATAGACCCTGTAGTATGCCTATTAAGAGCGGTTGATAAAGAAATATTTCCTTCTCCCCTCCACATAACAATTATCCTGCTTCTCTACATAGTCTGCAAAAAATTGCTCCATTTTATATAATATTATAACCTGAGGCACAGAATGTGATGATCTTTTTGTAGTTATCTAATATGGCCCTTTATGGGGACAATTTCAGCTGACCTACTCTTATATAGTAGCAACAATGCACTGAGGTTAGCCCATTGGCTGTCTTCTTAGAGTCGTTCTGATACCACGAAAATGGTTTCTAGCTTTTATATTTTTTTTTCTTTTTGTTACCTAAGTGCCACCATCATTATTAGCAGAGTTATACAGACTGGCTGTTTTATTATCCATGCTGTATTTTTGTGATTCTGTTCTGCTGACTGTCATTGTTTTATGGAGCTGTCAGGCTTGATCATGCTTCCCTTTTTCTTGACTGGATTGTATTTTTTATGCAATTCTCTGTACTCTGCTTGTGGTGGCTCAATAATAGTTTTTTTTAATTAAAAAAAAAAAAGTGTAATTGTCACAGTCAGTTAGTTTAGTTCCACAATCTAATGCAATTTTTGAAAAGATTGGGGAAGCCGAAATTTGCAAATGTTCCATTGCATTGGAAAATATTGAATCTTTCCAAAAAATTTCGATATATGCATATCGAACCCACACAAAATATATAGCAATCTTATGAACAAAAATTCTATATTTTACAAATCCACCTGAACCAACGAATATACAAAACAAATGGCGAAGATACAAAAACGAACACTGATAACAAATCGGTTCAACGTTACAAACAACATCAACAAATATGACGAAACAAAACTTTTCAATGACCGAATGCATCCGAAATAAAACAAATGTTTCCCATGTCCACTTTTTTCATACTTTCTCCCTTGTGGATTACTGCTTGTTGCCTTGGTATGGATTATTTTTATGAACTGTGCTGCTAAATCACCTCTTAGTACCCTCTTGGGCACTAAGAGAGCTCTGTACAGGAATGTGTCTGAAGATGTTGTTTGAGAACTGTTACTGTGTTACCCTGGACTACTTCAATAATGCTTCCTTTGTTGTTTATCTACTTTGCCTGGTCTGAAGACTCTCAAGGGGGACATGCATGGCGTATCAAAGAACAGGGCTTACATCAGGGGACCATAGATGTAGCACCTTCCTAGACAGGTACTAGGTTTAGATAGATAGATTTAGTTGTGTTTTTGTTAGGTAAATTTAGTTGCCGCTCTGTAGTCAGAGTGTCTGTAATGATTTGTTAGGTAAAATCATAGTTAGCTCACTGTACTTGGTTAGCTGTGATCATTTAGTAAGGTCTTCTCAGTGTGTTCAGCTGCTGCCAATCTGATAGCTCCCTCTGCATCCAGAGAGCTTGAGAAGTTTCTGGATGATAGGTTTGGAGCTATGCAGGTGGCAGCATGAATATTGATACAGCCCAGCCTATCCCAAAGAGAGGCTCTGATGGAATGCTGGGTAACTGTGAATATATTCTGTGAGCACACTGGGCTCTGGGTCTTTCCTGTATAGCATTGTTCCAGCATGGGAGTGGGCACATTGCCCTCCCAGGCAAATATTGCCACGCGGCCTCAGGTGAGTGACCTGAGGGCCTAATTGCTGAGACCTTAGTTTTACTGTCAGGAAAGGCCTGCCCATAGTGCAGGTGAAGTTCCACAGCGCACAATTATGTGCATACGCAGAGTCCTTACGAGCCAAACAGATGTGCAGGCACTTGGACATAGGCGCGCACGCATGCGCATGCACACTCGCGCATACGGGCGCGCGCCTGTTACTAATGCTGGCACCAAAAAGGGCTATTTAAACTGGCTGCAGTAGTTGTCCTATTGCCGTATGGTCTTTTCCCTGCTCGTGTTCCCTGATTCCTGTGATTGTCTCCTGATACCAAACCAGCCTGTTCCTGATCTCCGCTTGATTGCTTCCTGCCCTGACCTCTGGCTTGTTTTGGTTTATTCTTCTGTCTCCTCTCCTGTCTGATTGATCTTCCATTGCTGACCTGGCCTGTGAGCTGACTACTTTTCCTCCTGCCGCTGTAAGCCTAATCTGCCTGACCGATACCGAACCCGGCTCGTCTGACCCTGCATCCTCAGCACACAGCTCTCAAGTATCCATCCATCCAGAATGGCTACATCAGAACCCTGCTCCCTGCCTACAACTCATCAGCTGTTACTGGACTGATCACAGGCACTCATACCCCACCGTGCCCCTGCGACCGCTGTCTCACCATCAGCGGTCCTTGAGCCGGAGTTGTGCGGGAGGCCTCCCTCTTCACGTCAGGCTCACTATCCAGGTACGTGACATTTACTAAGCTGACTGAGGGTCCATCTGCTGAAGATATGGTATGGCATCCATCTGCTCTTGGGAGTACAGAGACCCCTAAAGGATCTTAGAGACTATGTGCTACTTAACCCCATCTGGTGCTGGGGAGTCACTTGCAAGTTTAGCAAAAAGGGGACGCGAGCTGGTGTTCTGAAGAGCTTTGCCCATTTAATCCTCCACTTCAAAGGACTCTGATCTAGCTTGCTACTACTTTTACTACTGCTGCATTAAAGCTGAAGTCTACCATTTGATTCAAGCATGTACTTCGTCTTAGCTCACCCTAAAGAATACTTAAAGTCCTCATCTGTACATAGTTCCTGAATCCGGAGTATCCCATCTAATTATTCCCTATCCCTATCCCAGTTCTCAAAAAATAAAAACAACAAAAAAAACACCCCTAGACTGATCCTTGGAGAATTGATTGAATGAGCTCAAGTGCCTGGCTGAAGGGCAAACTATCTGGGGAGAACATGGGCAATATTCCTGCAGCTCCTACAGGGGTAGCGCTACATAGGTTAGAGAATATACTGTAGAGAGGAGTCCAGCATGTAGGATGCTATCTAGTGTAGGGTATATTGTCATTGCTAAGGACAACTGTGTATGTATCATTTGCTGAATGCAGCCAACCAGCCAGGGAATGGGTGACAGGCAAGGGTGATGGCCACTCTAGTAGTGAAAGGGTGTAATGCTTGGCCCTTTCACTAGCAACTGGCTCCCCACATACTGGGACCAACTTAGGGACTTAGGCAGGAGTCACGAAAGAGAGTCACGAAAGAGAGAGAGAAAGAGAAAGAGATGTAGTGAGGCCTCAGGAGGAGAACAAGCATATAGTTACATTAAAAGTTAGTTTCCTGTATACAGTAGCAACAGCCAGGACATAAATTGCTGTGTTGTTGGTGGAGACCTGTGCAGGCTCTGTGGTACCAGTACCCAAATTATGCTTTCCTGGGGAAATAGTATAAAGGCATATGAAATAAAAAATGAATATGTGTATATATATATATATATATATATATATATATATATATATATATATATATATATATATATATATATTTACAACAAAGTATTTTTCTCTGTTGAAGGTCTTTAAAGATGTATTTTTCCTCAACACATTAAAAACAAACATTTAGGTCACATGAACAGAAAATATATAACACAGGTTCTTTTTTTTTAAGACAGATATGTGGTGTGATAATGCATCCCCTGAAACTGTGCAGTCTGCAATGTAGTGAACATTTTCCCTTTTTGTTGCCCTAGAAAATGATTTCACTGAACTACAGTGCCATAATTCCATGATCCCCTCTCTTGACAAAATCTAAAGTAAACCAGTCATTATCTTATATTGCATAAACTAATGATTTAAATGAAATGCAGGTACATAAAGATTCCTGTACATACCTGCATCTTCCTTCCTGACAGCACAGATATCCAGGGCACTCATTTCTGAAAATCTGTAAACTGATCGCGAAAAGTCAAGGCTCAGCCAGCCTGCTCCAAACACCTCCTTCCTTTTGCTGTAGGAAAGACCATTATGGATGTGTGGAAGAATGAAGATGGTAGGCTCAGGAAGAAAAGCCAAGATATGGTTTGCACCTCCAGGTACTCTCATTTATACCACAATTTTAGACAGTAGTACAGCTAACAGGACTTGATGTTTCAATTCCTATGGTAAGTTGGCAGTTTCCGCATTTACACTTGATGTTGAGATTGGTGTAGTGAAAAGGGGGAGGGTATGTACATCATTGGTGTCAACAATTGGATACCCTCTGTCTTTGATGTGTTCTTAATTAGCCTGTTATGTCTCCAGAAGGTACACAGCAGTGATACCTGGCATCTCAGGTACAACCTCTCAGTTCCATACCCTTCTGTCTAATCTTGCAGTTTTTGTCTTTCCTTTTAATCCAAATCCAATTTTCAGCATTTTTTTCTGCTTGTTGGAGGGAGCGACCCCCTCCCTTCTATTGTATTTAGAATACTGGTTGTAGATATAGTAACAAAGTCTTCTACTTCTACAGGGAAAATTTTGATCTGTCACCTGTTCTGAGTGCCTTCTGTTGGCAATTCCTAGTAGTGGCTCTTTTTTTCTCTTATAAGCTTCCTGAACACCTTCTCCTGCGGTGATTATCAGTTCCACAACATATGTTAGCTTGGTTGATGTGGACGACAAGACTTTGCATGGCTGGAGTGTTATAGCAACAAAGCCCGGGGGGAAGCCAAGTTTTTTTCCAAGTCCACATCCATTTTTGAATCCCAAGCTATCTGCAGGATACTTGTCTCTTATGATCTCATTTGGTGTTCTGGATGTTGGGCTGATGGTATTAATTAGAGATGAGCGAAGTATTCAAAAATTTGATTCGGCGAATTCGAGGAATAAATTCGATTCGAGGCGAATATATTCGCTGCGAATTTAACTTTAAAAAGGGGGTGTTTCTAGGCTTCAGAGAGCCTTTATATTAGTGCAGAACACTGTACCTTTAATTTAAATGCCCTTGGAGTCTGCTGGGGAAGAGAAATAATACTGTCAGTCAGTATGACATGCAGATGAGTGCCGTCGATCTTAGAATCACCGCACACTTCACTCATTTGAGCAGTCACGGGGCCAAAATGGAGCCACAGTGTGGCGGTGGAGGCAGCAGCAATGGGAGGCCATACAGCACCCTATGACAAAATGGAACCCACCAGCAGTGTGAGGAGACCTGAAAGTGGCACATGGCAGAGTGTGGCGATGGAGACAGCAGCAATGGGAGGCCGTACAGGGACCCATGAGACACTCTGGACCTGGCAGCAGCATGAGGAGGGCGGGTACAGGGGCCCATGACAGATTACGGGCCTGGCAGCAGCATGAGGAGTCGGTACGGGGGCCCATGGCAGATTACGGGCCTGGCAGCAGCAATGGGAGGCCCGTAATCTGCCAGCACCCTATGACAAAATGGAACCCACCAGCAGTGTGAGGAGACCTGAAAGTGGCACATGGCAGAGTGTGGCGATGGAGACAGCAGCAATGGGAGGCCGTACAGGGACCCATGAGACACTCTGGGACCTGGCAGCAGCATGAGGAGGCGGTACGGGGGCCCATGGCAGATTACGGGCCTGGCAGCAGCAATGGGAGGCCCGTAATCTGCCAGCACCCTATGACAAAATGGAACCCACCAGCAGTGTGAGGAGACCTGAAAGTGGCACATGGCAGAGTGTGGCGATGGACAGCAGCAGCAATGGGAGGCCGTAACAAGGACCCATGAGAGACTCTGGACCTGGCAGCAGCATAGGAGAGGCGGTACAGGGGCCCATGACAGAATACGGGCCTGGCAGCACATGAGGAGTCGGTACGGGGGCCCATGGCAGATTAACGGGCCTGGCAGCAGCAATGGAGGCCCGTAATCTGCCAGCACCCTATGACAAAAAGGAACCCACCAGCAGTGTGAGGAGACCTGAAAGTGGCACATGGCAGAGTGTGGCGATGGAGACAGCAGCAAATGGGAGGCCGTACAGGGACCCATGAGACACTCTGGACCTGGCAGCAGCATGAGGAGGCGGTACGGGGGCCCATGGGGCAGATTACGGGCCCCTGGCAGCAGCAATGGGAGGCCCGTAATCTGCCAGCCCCTATGACAAAATGGAACCCAGCCGCCAGCAGTGTTGAGGGAGGAACCTAAAAGTGGCACATGGCAGAGTGTTTGCCGATGGAGACCGAGCAGCAATGGGAGGGCCGGTACAGGAACCATGATAAGTACACCATCCCCTGGACCTGGCCCCCCAGCTAGCATGAGGAAAGAGGGGCGGGTACGGGGGCCCCCCATGGGGCAATTAACGGCCCAGCAAACAAAGGGGGGCCCTAAACTGCCAGCACCCTATGACAAAAAGGGAAACCCCCCAGCATTGTGAGGAACCTAAAGTGGCAAAAGGCGAGTGTGGCAAAGGAGACAGCACAAGGGGGGGCCGTACAGGGGCCCCAGAGACACCTGGACCGGGAGCAAAAAGTAGGGGTACGGGGGGCCCCTGGAAAATTACGGGGCCCGCA